GAGAGAGAGAGAGAGAGAGACAGAGACGGGGGGGGTGTCACAGGCCAAGCGATTATTCATAATCCAATCACTTCTTTACCTGGTTACTCTACACCAGTGATGGTGAACATTTTAGAGCTTTCAATGATACAAACAGTCCACTGCGGCACAAGTGATCTACTTGTGATCAAGTGATCTACCACTGATCTAGTCTGAGCACTAGGTTCAAGCATTTACTTTATAATGATTTGTAGTTGCTTTGCTAGATAAACCAGTCCTCAACATAAAGATTCAGAACTGTGTACTCATGGGAAATACTTCACCATTTCATCTCCTGAAGGGCTCTCAAACCTAAAATACAATACTCTCTCCAGATTAAGATAGGCAGATCAATCAGAAAATTCCTATTTCTTCCTTTCTCTATTAAGAGTAGGAAGGGAGAGAGAAGAGAGAGAAAAGCAAAGCAAAACTAAGCTAAGCTTGCCTATCACGCAATTTGTGACTTACATCTTCAAGTTCAGTGGCAGCAATTGATGTCACATAGCCAGCAAATCTGCTGTCACTTCCACCATAAATCTCCTGGTCATAGTAACCCGTGGAATCAAGGCCCACTCCTTGCGCTTCATCAAGAGCTGCCTTCTTGCCTTGAATCTCTCGAATCTGTGCTTCAATATCTGTAAGAGAGGTAATGCAAAATGTCATTTCATCACTCAATATGTCAATTTCTCTACTAGCTATTATCAAAATAATCAAACATTAACCATACCATCTAAGAGAGTAACAGAACTCTACAACAAGCACCAACAAGCACATATAACTCCTCATCTCAACGGCCAATAGTAATACAAAAAGGCACTGCTTACTGTCTCATCACCTGTAAAATGAGCCCCCAAATCTACAAACTGGTGAATTTTAAACCTTGCCAATTGAAAAATTAATACCGTGGATGTTGATTAGGTACCTGGAACAACATTCAAGATTATTTAATCTCAACAGTGCCAGAGAAGTAAAAGCCAACAGTATGGAGCTAGATGCAGACACTTATTAGCGGTCCAACTCCTCCGGAGGCTAAGGCAAGATCAGTAGACACAGGAGTTCACAGCCAGCCTGGCCAACACAGCAAGAAGTGCCTCAAAACATAACAGTATCCACATGGTGGTTCTGATCGGTGGCCTGCAGCAGCTCCCCTGCAGACTCTGTGACAAGGCAGAAGGCCAGCTTGGTGTTGAACCCCTACACGCTCCCTTAGCAAGGTCTTGGTCAGGATTGGACCCCACTCTGAACAGCACAGGACAGAGCATGAAATTCAGAGCTGCTGTGGTTGGAACTTAGTCTCTGCCCAAAGGTTCATCTGTTGCTAAGCATGGTGGCACCCACCCCAGCAGCACGCTGAGGGAGGAGGATCCTTGCAAGTGGAGTCCTTCCTTAGCAACATAGTGAGTTCAAGGTCAGCTTGAATTAACACAGCCAGACCCTGTCTCAAAAAACCAAAAAGGCTGTGCACTGGAAACCTGGTCTCCAATGCAGCTAACATTTATAGTGCTGCCTCACCAACCTTATTCACCAGATCTGGCATTGCATGACTTTCAATTCTTCGCCAAAGTAGAAATGACCAAGAAAGGTAAAGGTTTTGAACTGATTCAGCCCTTCAGACAGCAGCTATAGTATTATAAGACCCTCATGAAAGGAAGTGTTTAGGATAGGTCTGTAAGTGGCAAGGATGATGGGATAAGTGGGTGAGGGAGAAGTATCTTGAGGGGGACTAATGGCAATGTTGTCTTCTACTGGAGCAAATTCTCTTGGGAGGAAGGAGAGGGAAAGGGGGTGAAAAAAGGAATTAAGATGTATTACGTACTGGTACCAACTCTACACAAGGAATGCAAGCATTATGAACTACAAATATATACTCCAATTGAAAAAAGAAAAAAGTTCTCCTTTAAAATAAAATCACCAGTTTTCAATCACACCTCAAACGTAGTTTGAAGCAGAGGTAGGCCACATTTTCCCATAGGAAAAAAAGATATAAAAATCAACATTTCAAAAACCAATAGCTTTCTATACAGCTACATGAGAAAGAAATCAGGGAAACAATTCCATTCACACCAGCTTTCAAGAAAAATTCTAGCACAACCTAACCAAGGAGATCAAAGACTAATAATTAAAGAACTCCAAAGAAAGAAACTGAAGCAGACTCTAGAAGACAAGAAGATCTCCGTGCTTGGGACTAACAGGATGAATACTGTTTAAAAGGTCATATCACCAACAGTAATCATGGATTCGGTGCAGTCCCCATCAGAATTCCAATGGGAAAAGAACAAGACTAAGACTCCTATGAAAACACAAATGAGCAGGACAGCCAAAGCAGCTCTGAGCAATGAGAGCAAGGCTGGAGGAACCAGAAAAGCGACTTCAAAGTGAACCAGAAAGCCAGAGTAACACAGACAGCCTGGGACCAGCACAAGAGCAGATACGGAGACCAACGGAACAGAACCTAAGTCACAGAGACAAACCGCACAACCACAGCGGCCTGACTGCGAACAAAGGAGCCAAAAAATGCACACTGGAGAAAGGACACCCTCTTCTGACAAATGGTGCTGGGGAAACTGGATATCCACAGGTAGAGATCCTTCTCTTAACATTTAAAAAAATCAATTCCAAATGGATCACAGACCTAGACATAAGACCTGAAACTTCTTGTTTTTTTTGTTATGTTTTTTTGAGACAGGGTCTCACTATGTAGTTGAGACTGACCTGGAACTCACTATGTAGCCCAGGCTGGTCTCGAACTCACAGCAATCCTCCTGCCTCAGCCTCCCAAGTGCGTGTGCCACCACTCCCGGGAGACATGAAATGTTTGAACCACTGGAAGTAAACACAGGAGAAAACACTTGGAAGCATGGGCACAGGCAAAGGCTTCCTAAATAGGACTCCATCAAACTAGAAGGCCTCTCTACAGCAAGGGCTACAATCAACAAAGTAAAGAGATAACCTACATTAATGGGAGAAAATCTTTCCTACTTACTCTTCTGATGGAGGGCAAATATCTAGAATATGTAAATAATTCAAAAAATTAAGCCAGGTGTGGTGGTACATGCCTATAATCCCAGCACTCAGGAAATTAAGGCAAGAGAATCGCAGTAGTTTGAGGCCAACTTGGACTACACAGTGAGTTCAAGGCCAGCCTGAACTACATAGCAAACCTTGGTCTCAAAAAAGCAAAGGAAAAAATCCTCAAAAAGATTAACCTCCATAAACAAATGACTCAATCAAAACTGTGGTACTGAATAGACACATCAAAAGTAGTACAAACAGCCAAAAAGTCCATGGAAAAAACATCTTTAGTCACTAGGGAAATGCAAATGAAAACTACACTGAGGCTCCACCTCATACCAATCAGAGTGACTGCCATCAAGAGGACAAAAAAAGAATGAATGCTGATGAGGACTGGGAGTGGTCTACAGGTCTACACTAGTGATGTAAATGCAAATTAGTACAACCACTATGGAAATCAATACTGTGGTTCCTCAAAACATTGAACAACGGGCAGGGGATTTAGCTCAGCGGTTCGGTGGCCTGCCTTGCAAGCGCAAGGAACCGAGTTCAATCCCCGGTACAAAAACCAAAACCAAAAACAAAACCACACACTGAACAATACTACCTACCACTTGATCCAGCTGTACCATTCTTTGGTTTCTAGTGGAAACAGCTAAGCCAGCACGCTGCTGGCAAACCTGCCTACCCATGCTTACTGGGACACAACACAGTTCATGACAGCCAACACATGGAACCAGCTTAGGTGCCCATCAACAGACAAATGGATCAGCCAAATGGAGTGTTGTTCAGCCATGAAGAAGGAAATTTTGTCACTTGCAGGAAAATGGAAAAATGTCTACATCATCATGTTACATGAAATTGGCCACACTCAACCCTTACTCTGGTAAGTGCTACACGTTCTCCCTACAATGAGGAATCTAAAAAAGCGTGGAAGTAGTAAGGGCACTATCAGACAAGAAGGAGGTAGGAGGCGGAGGGCGATGCAATGGAGCACAACAGGGAGGACAGATGTGACTAAAATTTACACATAATGAAACCCAGTGCTTCCTAAAATTTTAAAAGGCACGAAAAAAAATAATTTTAAATAAAAAAATACATTTTAGATATAGAAAAGGCAAGTCCAGGAGCAGGTCTATGGAATTCAAAATGATTCAATAGGTTATACTGCCAAACTTCAGTGACCTTCTATGAAAAATCAGATCTCAAACTTCTGAGAGTGTATCAGGTACTATTTTTTTCCTGTTACTTCATCTTTCAAAACTACTACAATGGACAGGCAAATAGGAATGCCCTCACTTGATCTGGAGGGTTCAGTTACTAATATTTCTGTCTCTTTTGAGTTTCATATTTAAATAAAACATGCAAAGGTATAGCTCAAGGGTAGAGTACATCTTTAGCATAATGGGTCCTGGGTTGCTCACCTGCCCTGTTTCAGCACTTTCCTAACCCGAGGACACAAACAGACCCTCTCAGGCTAGGAAACTGGTCAATGTGAGAGATGACTCAGTATCTGTCTCCTCTGAAGTACCTGAAGCTTCCCAAGACTTGCATTCACCACTTTCAACTACACAGGGTTTCAAACACTACTTCATCAGGGTTGGGGCAGGAAACACAGAAGAGGTAAGTCAGTGTAGCCCTGAAGCTGGCGATCCCCTCACCTTCTCATCAGGGCAGCCTGCAAGCTATTGAATCAAAATGACCCTGAACCTCTGTTAAAATGGGGGACTCCTAGTCCCGAGACACATCAATCCAGAAAAGCACCCCGTACCCCTAATGGTTAACAAGTGCCCCAAGAAACTGTTTTACCAGGCCCTGCAACCCCTCCATTTCCAGACCCAGCCTACACCCACCAACTTTCCAATTCAAAGTACCATTTTAGGGTTGGTGAAATAGTTCAACAGGTAGTGTGTGTGCTTAGCCTTTACAGTCCTTGGGTTTCATCTCCAGCACCAAAAAAATACCATTTCACTTTTTAAAAATCTTATATGGTATACAACTAAAAAGCAGCACAAGAGTACATACTGTTTACAAATATTATATCATACATATCACTATACAACTTGCTTTTTCTCCCCTTGACATAGACAATTTTGTTATTTTCCTTCTGACTTTTTCCATTTTAAGCTTCAATAATTAGTTCCTAACAATTGGATTTATTAACTACTATACTTTTCATCTACTAAACTTTACCTACTGATTTTATGAACTTGCTGATGACCAAGAGAGTTTTCTCATTACAAAAGTACATAAAAATGTTGAATTAGTGCTTAGATAAAAATCCATGTGAATCATGCCTGGAGTCCTATTAAGTCAAAATTTAGCAACAAAATTTCCTAGCCCAAGGTCTTCTGGGGCTAGGTAGCTGTTCATGGTTAATTAACTCTGAGGGGAGTTCATTAATAAATTTCTACAGGCTGCAAAGTTAAATGTTTATATGCAAACTGGGCACTGTTTTCTGTCTCTGCTTAAACTACTAATAAAAGTAAAAAAGCTAATAGGTTTGTTAAAACACTGTAATCAACAGCACATTTTTACAAATATCATGTTATCTACAAAATCAAGACATGAGATCCCCAAAACTCAGCAATTAGCTAGGGAAGTAACAGAATAATTAAAAGGT